CTAGCGATTCTATTGGTTGATTTTTTACAATTTATTTTTCTGATTTATTTTTACCATCGACACTACTAAAAAGGAAATCCATTTAAATACTTACCTTTTTTGTTTTCTCGATTCAAAGAACATCCTTTTGTGATCATTTCTCTGTTTAATTCATTAAATACTCACTAAATATTTTAGATGTCAGAGAAACAAAATTAATTGACAAGATATTTTCACTTTTAAAATCATGCATTTAAAACAAAATTAATTGATAAGATATTTTCTCTCTAAAACCAATATTTTCTCACGAGATGTTCTCCTTTAGCTTTATCAACAAGATATTCCAAAAATAATATTACCTTAAAAGTATAAGATTTATTGAGAANACAAGATATTTTCACTTTTAAAATCATGCATTTAAAACAAAATTAATTGATAAGATATTTTCTCTCTAAAACCAATATTTTCTCACGAGATGTTCTCCTTTAGCTTTATCAACAAGATATTCCAAAAATAATATTACCTTAAAAGTATAAGATTTATTGAGAATTTATTAGAGAATATGTTACTTCTTAGCTTATCATGTAAGCTAAATCATTGAGAAACGTCCATCAATTTACTATAAATAAGACATTCACAGTAGAAGAAATGAAATCATTGAACTTTGTATTCTGAACTTTTTATGTTAATAATATTCAGAATTTGGTTTTCTTCTTATTTTAGAACATTAAGCTTTTATATTTCATGAGAGCTGATTTTTCTTTTGGTTTATATGCAGATATCCTATTATGACGATTTCTCCACTAAGGCTATATTACTTATGGGTTATATTTAAAACTTTTATTACATTTTCTTTGCAGGTTTCTATGGGATTGTGTTATATATTTCTATAGATTTACAATATATCAAAATCAAAACTATTTATTATTCTTTAATTTTATACTCATATTATGGTATTAGAAAAGATATACCTTGTTGGTAAAAGCTTTTAATTAGTTAATCCGTTTATTAATAACTTGCCCTACTTTGTTATCAATTACTTGCGCAAGTTGATATGTTGATTACCTTATTTTGCCATCAATTACTTGTCTTAAATGGTATGTCAATTATTGCAAATTTATGACAGTCAACTTTTAATATCTTTCTTTAAATTGCTTCATGGCTTATTATGAATTTTTTTCCAATTTTTTAATATATTTCTTTAAATTGTTTCATGCCTTATTTTAAATTAATATAACTTGCACAAGAAAACTAATATTTAATTCAAATCAGCTTATGATATTGTAGATCTAATAACTTTCTTTATTCAGTTTAAATATTTATTATAAAAAATTAATATTTTCTGCTTTGCCTTCTAAATCGGTATTACACTTTACAATTGCTTAGATTTTATAGTTACAATAGCATACTAATGAGATGAACTATTTCTCTTGCAGGTCATGATGTTGCAGTCCTTAGGTGATATTTCCTTGTGGTGATTTTTCAGGAACTCAGTTGTCCAAAAGAAAAAACCAAGAAGATCATGACAGTAACCTTGGAGGATCAACACTCTGTCAACAAAAAACATTCCCACAAAAAAATCAAGGGCGAGTGATCTCGAATTTTTTTAAAAAATATTTATTTGTGAATAGTTTCTAGGAACAACACATTTAGTCTTTTTTCACTATCCGCATTATTCATTATTATTTATTTCAAATAAAAACACATTGAGTCTTTTCTTGTGCTCATGACAATTTTAAAAATAATTGCATTGTAATAACACTCATGTTTTAGTAATAATCTGCTGGAAGAGATGAAATTATCTAATTTTCGTTCTAATGACATGTTATTATTTAGTCAATGTATTCGTTATTGTTTATTTAGTTATATTTTTATTAGATTATTTTTTCAGATCTCAATATATAATAAGGTCATTTTTATAGTTATTATTATCGTCATTTAACAATTATATTATTACTTGTTTATTATTTAATTCTTACAACTTGCCTTGAATGAAAAATATGTCCACATTTACCACATTAATGATTACCAATTAATGATGATTACAACATCACGTAACATATACTCCCTCCGTTCCTAAATGATTGATGTTCTGGAAAAAATCAAATTTTAAAAAGATTGATTTTTTACCTTTTCAATGTATGATTTAATGAAAAATTGTAAGTTTCAAAAAAATTAATGGTGTTTATTGAATTTATATTGGCTAAAAGCTATGGAAAAATTTTATTCATAAAAAACAATGCATTTACAATCAAAATTTAATGAGTTTTCTTAATATATGTGAAAAGTCTAAAACATCAATTTTTAAAA